CACGAAGACTTCCTCCTCGAATTGAGAATTAGAAGAAGAAACAACTCTCCTCATTACAGACCTAGACCACAAACTAGAATGAAGAGATGGTAAGTGTAAGACATAGTCTATCAAGAACAAATGATTCAGGCACCAGGTCCTAAGTAAAAACAACCTCGACAAGAGAGAATGATCTACGAATCGCGAAAGGGAAAAGAAATCGCTAGAATGACTACTGAAATAACTAAACCTCCAAACTGGGAAACGAAAGCAAAAGTCCCACTAGGGAGGGTTGAAGGGATCCAGATTTGACGAAAAAAAAAGAAAGAAAAGAGAATGTACCTAGTCAGACGCTAAAGGCAGAAGGAAACTGGGAGCAAGGAAACCCTAGATTGCCAAAGTGCTTGGAACAGGCGCCTCAGAAGCCGGAGGAAGAAAGAGAGCACAAGTAGATGAGAATTTAAAAGCACAAAGTAGGAAAGGCAAAGGGATTTTCCCCCTTTTTATACACGACATTTAATTCGTGATAGACGTGGGACAGAACACGCAAAGGAAACAGTACGAACGGACTCACCTAAAGGTGACAAGTGTGTGTCTTTTTAAGCATAACCGTCTCATCACAGCCGACAAAGGATAACCTAGCACGACCTAGGGTAGCGCCAGTAATCAAGCACAATCATCATTTAGGAAAACCAAATCAAATTCAAGAATAGACGTTTTTCATCCCAGGTCAGAGCCGATGTCATTCTCGTGACCCAGGGCTGGGGGGCAGCTGATAATGATGGAATTTTGGGTATGAGCTGCCATAATCAAAGGCCCAATAAGTCCAAAAGGCCTCTATTAGTGTAGTGGCCCAAATGAATTGCAACAGTTTGTCCACAACAAGAGTAGGATGGACCGAGCCCAAAGGGTAAAGCCTTGCAGTGCCAGAAGGTTTGAAGTCTAGCCTAGCCCTAATCCAACTCAACTAGAGGCCAGCTCGGGTCAGAGGAGCTCGGCCCAATGCCTATCCTCGAATTCCTCGTTGCGCCACGTGTCCTGAGGATAGAGGGACCATTTCTGACACTCATAACAAACATGCACTCTCTGCCATAGAGAATATTGGTGTGCATATCCGCTCAAGGACCATGGGTGCAGTGGCGTCATGTGGTAGAGGTAGTTACATGACAAAAGTAGAAGGGCACACAGATTTGCAAAAAAGAAGAAGAAGTCGCAGGAAACCCTAGGGGAATCACTTGTATAAATAGGACACTATTACACAACAAAAAGAAGGACCGTATTCCTCGCAGCACTCTAAGCCATCTACACAGAAAAGTGAGTGATCTGAGCATCTTCTTGTAAAGGCCCNCGGCCCAATGCCTATCCTCGAATTCCTCGTTGCGCCACGTGTCCTGAGGATAGAGGGACCATTTCTGACACTCATAACAAACATGCACTCTCTGCCATAGAGAATATTGGTGTGCATATCCGCTCAAGGACCATGGGTGCAGTGGCGTCATGTGGTAGAGGTAGTTACATGACAAAAGTAGAAGGGCACACAGATTTGCAAAAAAGAAGAAGAAGTCGCAGGAAACCCTAGGGGAATCACTTATATAAATAGGACACTATTACACAACAAAAAGAAGGACCGTATTCCTCGTAGCACTCTAAGCCATCTACACAGAAAAATGAGTGATCTGAGCATCTTCTTGTAAAGGCCATGAGCCAGTAATACCTTTGTCATCACCTATTTCGAGTAATATACAACCCCCATGAGCAAGAGACTCCCTTACTATGGATGTAACCTTAGTCCTTCGGCTAAGGTGAACCATTCATATTGTTTTATGATTTTCCTCTTACGACCTCATCCATTTCTAGCCTCTGCATTTACTCTGCATCTTCCTTAGGCCAACTGGTCTCGGTTCTGGACTTGGGCTAAACTATTTCCAAGCAACATCATTTTGGCACCGTATGTGGGAAACAGTTTTCATCGTTTTCTTGAAGTTTTCTTCATACANCTTACGACCTCATCCATTTCTAGCCTCTGCATTTACTCTGCATCTTCCTTAGGCCAATTGGTCTCGGTTCTGGACTTGGGCTAAACTATTTCCAAGCATCATCATTTTGGCACCGTATGTGGGAAACAGTTTTCATCATTTTCTTGAAGTTTTCTTCATACGTCTCTGTTAGTTTGATGGTTTCTATCTGCAATATGAGTAAATCTCACGCCAACCCCGAAGTTCATCAAACTTTTCAAAGTCGGCAATGTTGTAAGATATGGTTTCACACTAGAACTCGATTTCAAGCTACAAGTCACAATCTATACGGAATGTATTTATATTTTTTTTCTTTCGGTTTCATTGATAATAGAATGACCTTCCTCTATATGGGCGTTAGCTCTTCCCTAATAGAATATCAAATCTTAAATATGAAGGAAATTGAATTGGTTAATGCTCTGTTTGATATGATGAAAAAAATAGAATGATGTAAAGTTAGAGAGATAAATAAAACATCATGTTTGGTAAGGAATAAATATAGGAAGGATGAAAAAGTAGATGAATTAATTTTTCTTCCAACTCATTAAAATCAATCCCTCCAAAATCGGAAGGAAAGTGAATAAAAAGTTAATTATTTGTATTGAAATGTAAAAAAGTTAATTATTTATATATTAAAAAAATTTAAAAATAAATTTAAAATTTTAAAATTTAAAATTAAAAAAATATTTTTTCCATCTTAGTTAGGGATGAAAATTTTTGACTCAACACGATAACACGACTCGAACTCGATNAATGATGTAAAGTTAGAGAGATAAATAAAACATCATGTTTGGTAAGGAATAAATATAGGAAGGATGAAAAAGTAGATGAATTAATTTTTCTTCCAACTCATCAAAATCAATCCCTCCAAAATCGGAAGGAAAGTGAATAAAAAGTTAATTATTTGTATTGAAATGTATCTTATTTGTCTATATATCTTTATATATATATNGAATAAAAAGTTAATTATTTGTATTGAAATGTAAAAAAGTTAATTATTTATATATTAAAAAAATTTAAAAATAAATTTAAAATTTTAAAATTTAAAATTAAAAAAATATTTTTTCCATCTTAGTTAGGGATGAAAATTTTTGACTCAACACGATAACACGACTCGAACTCGATACGAATTTTATAACACGAACTTGATTATAACTCGACATGAACTTGAAAATGATCTGACACGCAAACAAGAAATATAAACGGCTCATATTCAGTTCAATTCGTCAAACTCAAAATTGACATCATCGACCTGTTTATTTAAAAATAAACACTTTCTTTATTTTCTCGTTTGTATGGTAACACGAAACTAACATGTTTAACATAGATTCAATTAAGTGAAAATAGAATATTAGCATTAAATTTTGTTATTCAAAGTTTATGTGGGTCAGCACAAATACAAATACGAATATGACACGAAAATAAACAGATCAATTCGACATGATATAATTAGTTAAATGAGTTGAGTTAGACTTGACTAATGACTCGACACAAATCTGACACAACACTACTCGATTGTCACCCCTAATCTTAGTTAGGAAAAAAAAAATTATTTTTATTTTTCATCTATCCTACCAAACATAAATGAAGAAAATTATATCATTCATAATTTTCTTCTTCGAATGATAGAAAGTGTATCCCTCCTATTTTCTACCATTCCTACCAAGCGAAACATAAGTGAGAGTATAGGAGCAGCATACCTGAATTCTGGACTCAAATTAATGACAAAATGCCAGGTTTTTATTACACTGATATAATCTGATACCAACCTCTCCCACCTGCAATTGCATTTACTACCAAATTCAAAAATTGGTTAGGGGTTAGAAAGCAGTGATGGTTGTTAGATGACCACAAGGCCCAGACCCCAGACACCACACCATATACCTCATCCCCTGGCCTTATATTTTGCCCCCCTCCCACGTGCCAAATGCGTAACCGAAAACAATCTCAGGTTTTTTTTTCTTTCAATTATAGTGTTGAGTTTTGAATCTTTGACCCCTCTTTCTTAAATTTTTTTTTTTTCAATTATAGCTACGAGTATTGAATCTTTGACCTGCTCTGTCTTAAAATGCATACCCAATAAGAATTGGGTCGCCTTTTGGAAGATGTTACCTTCTTTCTTTCTTTTTTTCTTTAACTACTTATCTACAGAAGAAAACATAAGAACATTGCAACAGTATTAAAGGGTTTAATTGAATTGACTGATGTTTATAACACACAAGGATATGATTCACTTGACAATGTTTTTTCTGCAGTCTTGCTTTATTTCAAGTAGGGAAAAGAAAACTTCGAATAGAATTGAAGTTCTCTGCCTCATACTCATCTCTCACTTGATGTTCTCACTAGTAGCTTCTCCCCTCTAGGATCTACAGTCAAGCTTGCAAAAGATATGGTCCTGAATGTCAAATTNTTTATTTCAAGTAGGGAAAAGAAAACTTCGAATAGAATTGAAGTTCTCTGCCTCATACTCATCTCTCACTTGATGTTCTCACTAGTAGCTTCTCCCCTCTAGGATCTACAGTCAAGCTTGCAAAAGATATGGTCCTGAATGTAAAATGTAAAATGTAAAATATTGTGCCTAATGGACAGAAGGTGCCTATATTGAACGCGGTGTCAAGTGAAAAAATGTTGGGCTGCAAGGATGGTAATATTTATAACAAGTGAAACAATGTGACGGTTGTTCAGACATGATGGTGTCAAAACAAAATAATAGTGATAGAAAGCCCACCACAGAGACAGAAGGAAAATAGAGAACGATTATGGTAACGAATGAAACCTTTTCTGCCAGGGAATGTCATTTATTCGAAAAATTACACGTTTTCTATGACAGTTTATAACCAACACCAAGAAAGATCTTGTACGTTTACAGTCTTCACAACCAAGTCTCTCTGATTCCCCAGGGTTTAATTGCTATGTTACAAAGGTGGCAAGAATAAAAACATCAAAAATGGATTCCTGGTTGTGTTTGTGAATCTCTCTTCATATCGTTTATTTGTCATTTCCTACTTATACACATGATCTCCATATCCTCCCCTCCAGGGAAATAACAATGACTGATACATCATCATGGTATCGACGCCGATCCCCTTGTGGTATCTCTAGCAACTCTTGAAACTCCAGACCTATGAGGCATCAAAATCAGACACAATGTTTTATTTCTCCAGGTTAATATAGTTGTTTAAGAAGAAAAAGGATAAATTTTATCACTAAAACATGTATTGTACCAGCTTTCTTAGCTGCACGAAATAGCACTTCCTCAACCAGATGCTGTGCAGGATCTCCTTCGGGTGACCATGATAGGAATAGCTCAACCTCAGAAACAGCCTCTTCGTTTGTAAAATATTGATAGAGGCCATCGGATGATAATATTAAAAACCTGTCTCTTGGCCCTAATCGGTGATGATAGAGATATGGAAGACACGTGATGTACGGGGAATTTCCGATGTAATCAAGTCTAAACATTTCCAGCAGTGCATTGTTCAATTTAGGCTGCAGAAACAAAATCAATGCAAAAGAACTTCAGGATGAAACATTATACACACGAAAGAAAAAAAAAACAGTAGCATTCAGATACTTGATGTTAGAAATTTTCATAACTGCCTAGAGCAGATATAAATCAGAATTGCCAAGTCACACTTAATCTACTGTAGTTTGAATATGAAATCTTCTAAGAACCTCAGGAGAATGCTTTGATGGACCTTTTTAAGTAGAGATCCGAGACTAGAGCATAATCATTGTAGTGAGCAGATAGCGATACAAGGTATCAAATATTTCTGTGGTATCATCTCATCAGACAGATCTTTAGCTAGCTAAATTTGTAGCAAAAATAATATGTAGTCAATCTGTTGCCCTATTAGCTTAATCCTTCTCCACAAGATCCAGATTTAGTTTCATCCGCCTTTTAACCTCAACTGTTCTATATGTAGGTTGACCTAGAAATGACATTCAGTGGTGTATCAAGCTTATAATCAGACAATGAAATCTAGGAGTCGTAGCTTAAAAATGTGTACGTCATAACCTTGTAAAGTGCAAATGCTATGCTACTAAAATTTCACTCGGATGTCCACAACGGACCTATCATGACAATATGCCCCCATAAATGGAAAGGCAAGTTGCTTTCCTCTATTTTAGGAAAGAATATAGTAAGGCATAAACTTTGTTCTCAACAAAATATCAATCTACTTGCCTTTTGAACTCAACTTAGAATTTTCCCTAGCCATTTGAGGAATCTACTTTATGAAGCACTAAAAGGAATCCAAAATAACTTGACATTTTCTGGTAATCTCCACTCCTAATATGCATTGATTGGAAGCTAGAAAACATAAAATCTGAAGTACCTGCTTGAGAAATCCAGCACCAAAAGCTCGAGTGACTTTCAATGAACCTTTCACACGGTCATTCATCACAGCAAAAGCATCGTCAGGGTGTTCACGCCTTATTCTTTGAACTTCCTGGAATGCAACAGAATATCAAGTCAAACTACGAATCAGAAAATTCGAAAAAAAACCAATTAGTGGAAAGCTAATCAGATCAAAACATCACCATAATCAGCTCAAAAACCAGCATACAGTAAGCAGACAAAAGTAGAACTTTTACCTCTTCCACAGAGGTGCTATGATCTTTGCTGAGCTGAAAAGCAGTTAAACTTGGTACTGTACTGGATCTATCGCCATCACTACCCTCAAGATCATGAAGTGTTTCTTCATTGATTCTCTCTAGATCCTGGCTCCAAAGATCAGGCTCCTTTTTCTGAGCTAAAACCGCCCGACTATCGCCCACATTCATCAAATACACATCCTCTCCCTTCATTAACATCACAAGAACACAAGAACCCATCATCGCCAACTCTGGATTCTCCACCACCATCTTATCAGTAATATCCAAATAGGCCTCCTCTGTTATCTTCAATGCATGAGACAGAGCTTTCAACACATCCAAGTGATTAATCGTTCCTGATCCATTAGACCCATTTCGATTCAATTGTTCCTTTAACCTCCTATCAAGCTCCAACCTCTCTCTATCCCACTCACACCTCCACCTCCTCTGATTCTCCTCCCATTTCTTCGCCGCCCCTCCCGTATACTTGCTCTTCGAACTCTTACTTCTCCGCTTTCGATTGCACAAATCCGAGTTATCACCCATACTTCCGCATGGATAATTCTCTTGTTCAATACCCCTCGAACACCCATCCCTAGTCCTATCCCTCGAAAATTCATTTTCATTGTCGGGACGCCTAATCGAATACTCTGTTTCAGAATTTAAACCCTCGACCGAAACAGAGGAACTAAAATTTGAGGAATCGAACTTATCATCCCATAGCAAACCCTTGAGTTCCTTATGAACAGCAGAATACATATTTGACAACAAATAATCAGTCGCATCAGGGCCGTTAAATCCATCATAAATTCCCACAAAAACCCATCCATGTTCCTCAGAAACCACGACATGGACACGATCCTCACCGGCTTTTCCGTGCGCCCACTGTAAATTCTGACCCACCAACAAATCATCATCATCGTCTAAACTATAATCACTGCTCAAATTCACACTACTAATTGTCAACTCATTTTGATTCGTGCTACTAATTGTCAACTCGTTTTGCTTTTCTGACCCAACAATCCAATCGAGTTGTTTCACCGAAACAACCCCTTTAATGGGCGTAACGATCGAGTTTTGCCCTCTAGATATCNTTGATTCGTGCTACTAATTGTCAACTCGTTTTGCTTTTCTGACCCAACAATCCAATCCAGTTGTTTCACCGAAACAACCCCTTTAATGGGCGTAACGATCGAGTTTTGCCCTCTAGATATGGTCTTCGATATGGCTCTTTTTAGAGCCCTAATCAATGACCCCTTTCTTGATCTGGATCGAAAAGCAAAACCACCATGAGAGAAGCTTCTCTGGAACTGATCGGAACCATTCTTTTCCAGCGGACCCGAATAAAGGCCACGATTATCAAGGGGACCCGATAAGAACCCTCTCTCTATCGGGCCTGATAGAAAGCCCCGTTCGATCGGACCCGATTCCGGAATAAGACCGGAATGATAAGCTAACGGCCCGGAATTGATTGAATTTCTCGGGATAACTTGGAGAGGAATGGCAGCGAAAGAGTTGGAGCTCTCAAAAGTTGAGGCCCGATCGATACTGTTGTAGCTGTAGAGATCTACCAAGGAAGTAGATAGAGGTGTTGATGTGTTGGCACTAACAGAAGCCCCGGAGATTGATCGGAAAGTCGTCGTCTCTTCGGAGTGAACTTTAGAGGAAGATAAGCGAGATGGGACGTAGCAAAAAGAGTGACCCAGATCATCCAATGGATCAGATATGNAGAAGCCCCGGAGATTGATCGGAAAGTCGTCGTCTCTTCGGAGTGAACTTTAGAGGAAGATAAGCGGGATGGGACGTAGCAAAAAGAGTGACCCAGATCATCCAATGGATCAGATATGACAAAACCTATGTTCTTTGTCCGGCGAACCTCGTTGCCGCCGGTGAAGCAGACGCTGAGCTTCCCGATTCCGTTACCCATCAAAGCCTTGAAACAATAATAAAAGTTCCCTCAGTTTTCTGCGTAGAAAAGCCTACACCCGAAATTTCATTGCAGAAATGTTCGGTTTTTGGAGAGAGAGAGAAAGAGGAACATAGCTGAACAAGAGGCGAGAGAGAGAGAGGAAGAGAAGGCGTTGACTTAAGGTGATGGTTGTCCCCTTTTTGAAAATGAGAAAACACCTCATCATTTTTTATTTTTGATTTTTAATGCATTTACGCTTTTGCTTTTGTGGGGTCGTTGACTATAAGGTGAGGTTTAAGTAAACTCAAGTGTGGGTGGGTTAAGGTCTGGATCAAAATGCTAATCCCGAATTCACCCATGGCGCGTGCGTCGATTACACTATGGGTTAATATATTTTTATTGATAATTTGAATTAATTACATCGCTTTACTCAATTTGATTTTATATATATCAATATTCTATTTGAAATATTCATTAATATTGATATAATTATAATCATTGCAAAAAATAGTAAGTTCTAATAAATATTAAGATTTAATAGTAAGTTTTAAATTAATTGTTTGATAGATTTAATTCGGATTGGGACCATGGTCCGACAAAGGGAGGGAATATATTGACTTTATATGTCGAGTGAAACGCACACTCCGTCATAGCACGTGAGTATGCTATGGGGGATACAGTGAAAAAATAGTGTGGTAGAGTTGTAAATTGCTGTTGGGATGGGAAATGTCAAATGAAGGAAGGACAATGGCAATGCAGCAGCATAGGAATGTGTGCCACGATCACCGTTGGATCAAGAGTTTTTATAATTAAAGCCATCGTTGACTCAAACCTGGTAGTCCAACTTTGCCACCGAGTTTTTCGTCAACTTGAAGGTTTCCAAGCAATTTCTTAGTTTTGAAATTTTAAAATTTGAAGTTTAGCTAAAATTAGTCATATTAATTAAATTAATTATCTATTTAGTCATATTATTTTAAAAGTAAAATGAAGAAAAGTAGGAAGGATTCAGTATGTCCTTCCTGCGTTGTGTCATATGAAAAAAATAAAAAGATAAAAAAATTCGGAAAAATATATATTTTTATATAAAATTAACTTATTCATCATATTTAACAAAACATACATATTAAAAATATAAAAATAAAGAACGTATATGTTATTGAAAGGCTTGGCTCCTTTTTTATGACACATGTCATTATATTAAATGAACCCACACGAGGGTGATAAGACTAATCACGTGACGAATATATTATTGGACCCAGTTATTAGTCTGAGGCCGAGTTATTCAAAGAGTTCAAAAATAAAGAAAAAAAGCTGGTCTATATCATGATCGAGTTTTTTCAACACAGTAAACAAAGAGTTAAAGAAATGTCTATAACTCAAACATTCGGATTAAACGAATAAACATAATTGTAGGCTCGGCAGGAGGAATTGTTAGAGAGATCTCAGTTACTTCCCAAACAGAATCGCCTAATTGGAAGAAGGTGTACCACCTTAAATCGATAATCATGAAAACTCTAACTGAATAGGGATCTATAAAAGGCATAAAGAACCACGATGAAAGGTACGCTAAACTTTTCTTATTTTCTTGCGATTCATTCAGTGTTATTATTGACTTAAGGATCTGAGTGTCTTCGATCGAAGCACTTTAATCTTAGACAATTTATTCGTTTTGCAGGAGAGAGAAGATTAGGAAACCAATTTCAAAAACACGTCCTAATCAGAAAAATATCAATCTTTCGTACTTGAGAGAGGTTCGTCAATTTTTACCTCTTACACTTATACATTCACTTTTTTTTTTTTTTTTGAACTATCCACAATATTTTATGAATCCGTCATTTTTTTCTCATCCCTCTTGTTATTTTGTTCTTCTATTTTTCATTCATACTAAACAGCCCACAAGTNCTCATCCCTCTTGTTATTTTGTTCTTCTATTTTTCATTCATACTAAACAGCCCACAAGTGATTTAGGTTTGACTGTGTTAATCAAAAAAACTTGAAAAAATCCACTGCATATTAACTATGAAATAGTAAAATATCGAAGGTTGGTCATAATTTTCATCGTAATGTCGGAAAATTTTCGTCCATTGACTAAACTTCATCATTTGATTTTTTATTTATTTTTTAATCCGAATTTAAGAATTCAAATTACTCGGTTTCACCTTGACTTTTGCTATTGGAAGATTTGATGTTTCTCTATTTTAAAATTATTTTTCTATTCATTTCAGTCAAAATAATTATGACAATTAGTTCTATATTTAATTTGGTGAGGTGGGGTGGTTGAAAGACTACAAAATATACTCCATTTATTATAGGTTGAGTGTTTTAGGTAGGTTGACTCATTTCATTTGTATGATGTACTGTATCTGCCTGTCTTTATGTCTGGGTTTAATTTTATTGACTGAATTTCACAAATTAAATGGAGAAAAACTGGACACTTCTGCCATGATTTCATAGGGCCACATAAGCTATAAAACACACAACACTCATGTTTAGGTGAGTAAGCTAGAAAACACATAGTACCCATGTTTAGGTGACTCCACACCTCTCTCTCTCTCTCTCTCTCTGTATGTGTGTGTTAAAGTCAGCCATTTTGAATGGATTTGTTTATGATTATGTCTCCATTTAATGTGATACTCTTTAAATCCTGCAGAGATAGCACTAACAAATACCTTCTTAGCTCCACCATGTTGTTTGTCAGCAGTAGTAAATAGTACTAATTTGACATTGAAATAAGCCTGTTGCTGAACCTTCCAAGCATGTGTATTGAAATTGGATCAGTCAATATCCAATATGAATGATCCAACCTGTGACAAATAAAATATATCTAATCTGAATCCGATCTCCGGACACACCTGTCTAGAAGCATGCTACATATTCAAATTCATACTCTCTTATGCTACATATGCTACATATTCTAATAGAGTTTTTTTTTTTTTTTTCCTCTGGATCAATCTATGAACTTTTTTATACTCTCTTATAAATTTCTGCAGATGCACTAAACCATATTACACTTTAGGTTATGGAAAACATTTACTTGTGAGGCTATTCCATCCTGACATTGAAAATGGAGGGCAAAAACTCCTTTTCTTTCTTTTTTTTTTTTAATTTGCATACCGGGTATTTTTAGGGGTGGATTTCTATATAGTGGATCTCACTTAAGTTCATGATAGATAATTTATCGCTAAGTGGAATTTTAAAAAAATGTACTAGAAATGATCAAAATCTTTCTTATTTTGTGTGGGTTGGAGGAGGAGAGAGAAAGAGGGAAAAGGGAGGGGGGGGGGGGGAACCCACTGGTTTTAGCCCCCCTGGACATGTTAGTTTTTTGGCTTTTGCCACATAATAGTGAAGGCAAAGTCAAAAGTGGTGTGTGGTTATTTGGTACATGATCACATTATAGCCTAGTAAAAACTAGCCCCAGTGGGAAAAAAAGGAAACAAAAAAGGCAGTGTAGACAACATCCAATATCATGTGCATGCTTTGAGATATTATTAAAAAGGGTTGATCAAGAGAACCTAGGTTCTTTATTAATTTAAACTATATAGGAAAGCCAAAATTTCCACTTCCATATAATTATATTCCATTTGAGAATTCAAACCTATCATCATTCAATATTGCAAGTGGAGAACCCTCCTAAGCCACCTTCTCCACAATCTATTTGCTTGAGATTGACCCACTCACCCTTGTGTCCTTTTGTCATCTTTAACAGCTGCTCATCTCACATAAAAGTATTTAAAAAAAAAAAAACCCTTAGTGTGGTGATATTTTATATATTTCTTCGTCTTACAGTATTGCTAAATTGAACCCCTAAGGAGGGAGAACTGTAAATTCGCACGTTGATATTTTATATATTTCTTGGTCTTACAATATTGCTAAATTAAACCCCTAAGGAGAGAGAACTGTAAATCCGCACGTTGTAATTTTAACTTCATCAAGTTGTATAAAATTCGAGTTCAGTCGATACATGTGATTAGCGAAAGTGTGCCTCAACTACATACTTAGAATGTCAAGTGACATCTTGACTACCTTCAACAATGGGCCCAAACTCCCATTGAGGGACACTTTCCTTTGAATTCAGCTGAATCAGCTACATTGATATCACTTTCAATGACAGCATTGGGGATGTTCAGAACTTATATCATGAAGCATGCATTCCTAAAGAAGAAGAGGCTCTTGAAATGGGCTACACATATATAGGCATTTGCAGAACAAGTGTAAATTGTCTAGGCTTAGAAAATTTTAATACAATCCGTCAAATCAACACCAAGATCACAGAGTATGAATTTAATCTTAATAAATTTGAGTCATAACTGGACTTATCAACCAAACCCATTCAATAAATGGGTCACGCAAAACTACTATACACGCTTCAACTCTACATGATGCAAATTTAATTATATATACAAGACTATAAATGGATCATATATGCATACATGGGCGGAACCCTCAAATTTTCAAAAATCCCTATAGTACCCCATATGTTTTAGAAAAACATTATGTTTCTCTTTATGTTCTACAAAATTGTATGCACAGACATTATACTTATTGCATTGAAAAAGACCAATGAATTGATATTTAATAGCCAAACATGGAATGTAACTCATGGATGAGTGATGATTTTAAAACCGAAGATATGGAGTTAGACGAGTTTGATGATCAAAGGAAGTTAAAAAAAGAGGATTTTTTTTTTTTTTTGCAAAACTAGATTATAAATGTGACTTATATCAACATATTATTTTTGACTCATAACTCAACTTTATCTTATCGTGTAAAATTTTTATTTGTGAGAATAAATTATTTTCAAGTAATTATAGAATATCATAATGTGAAAATAAAAGAATCATGACATTGTCACAAACTAATTTTTAAGATAGTTAGAACTCATCTTTGAATTTTATGACACAAACTTATTTTTACAATCGTATGGCATAAAAATTAATATAAATTTTATATAACTGTTTATCTAGTTAATAAATTTTTTATCTATGCTACTATTTGACCCCTCTTCTGATAGAATTCTGATCTCGTTCCTGTATGCATAAAACAAATTTCGAGATGACTCAATATGAACATCTATAATTTATAATATAAAATATGACATGCTGCAATAAGTTCATCCAACGGTCTCAAATAGACTCATCCAACCCCCATCAACATCTCTTTT